TTCGCGCGCTGCAGCAATGAGTTGAGACCGCTCATCGCGAGTGAGTAGGAAAGCTTCCGCATTAGAGCCGAGTACAACAAGGCCTGCGAGTCCGGATGTGGAGAGGTATTTGAAGTACTTCTTCTGGGAGTTGAGATCCAGAGTGCCAGTTCTAGGGTCAAAAAACGTCACTGCGGGGCACCAGACGCCGGGTTTCGGAACTTTCATGCTGAGGACTAGAGGGTTTGAGTAGTGAGGTTACTTTTCGTAAACATATGCTTGAATCCAAGTTGGGCGTACGAGTTCTTATTTGCTGCGGGCAGGTAGAGGCTAGACAGAACTTTGCTAGAGTAAAGTGGCTAGGCCGTACCGTGTTGGCGCGCGTACCCTGCTGCCCGGCCGTCCGAGCCGCCCGGCCGTTCGAGCCACCCCACCAAAACAACAACCAGACTTCAACACGCGATAAATCTATCAATATGAGCTCAATTGAGGCAGCGATTGCAGCGATCGAATCGCTAGAACCAGGAGAACAGTTCAGCTATCGTCAAGTTGCAGCAGAGTATCACTGTAACCGTACAACGCTCGCGCGGAGGCATCAAGGCATTGCAGGCTCACGCAGTACTATGGCAGAAAACCAGCAAGCGCTCCACCCCCAGCAAGAGCAGGAGCTCTTACGCTATATTGAGCGCCTTACAAGGCAAGGCCTGCCTCCCTCACGGCCTATGATACGACGCTTTGCTTCGGAGATCGCGAAAAAAGAGCTTGGAAAAGGCTGGGTTGATCGATATATCCAGCGCCACGACGTCCATCTTATCTCACGCTGGACCACCGGCATCGATCGCTCGCGCCACCAGGCTGACTCTCTATCAAAGTATAGTCTCTACTTCGAGCTTCTGCGCAGCAAGCTCAGCCAATACGATATCGAGCCTCGTAATATGTACAATATGGATGAGAAGGGCTGCATGCTAGGAATACTCACTCGCTCAAAGCGGGTGTTCAGCAGGAGGCTATATGAGGAGGGGAAGATCAAGGCTCACATCCAGGATGGCAATCGGGAGTGGATAACGCTGCTGGCCTGCATATGCGCTGATGGATCAGCCCTCGCGCCTGCGCTGATATATCAATCAGCCTTAGGCTCGATACAGGACACCTGGCTGCAGGCTCTGAGGCCCGAGGATCGAGTATATATATCCTCCTCACCTTCTGGCTGGACAAACAACGATATAGGACTATTCTGGCTCAAACAAGTATTTGATCGATCTACGAAGGAGAAGGCAGGGCGGAGCTATCGATTACTAATCCTTGATGGCCATGGATCTCATCTCACGATGGATTTTATCGAGTACTGCGATCGGAATAGAATCCTCCTTGCAGTATACCCCCCTCATTCAACTCACACCCTCCAGCCGCTTGACGTCGTCATGTTTAAGCCATTCTCAACAGCCTACTCAAACTAGGTAGCTGCTTTCATGGAGAGGTGCCAAGGGCTTACTTCTATGAGTAAGAGAGACTTCTATCCTATGTTTATGGCTGCCTAGAAGGCCTCGTTCAAGAAAGAAACTATACTCAAGGCTTTTGAGGCAACTGGCCTCTCACCTCTTAACCTAGAGGTGATACTCAAACGATTCAATCAGCTAGCTCAATTAGGCCAATTAAGTGATAGCGACTCCTCAGCCTTGAGCGCCTCTAACTGGCGGAAAACTAAGCGCTTTCTACGCTAGGTAGTGCACGATAGGAGTGATCCACGAGCTCAAAAGCTCAGCCGAGCCTTCTATTCTATCTTAGTTCAGAAAAGCCTTTTTACAAACGAGGCTCAAAGCCTTATGCAAGCTCTTATTAATAAGAGGCAGCGTAGAAAGCGAGGCAAGGCTCTGCCTCTAGAGGCAGAGGAGGAGTATCACGGTGGAGCTAAATTCTGGTTCCCAAGGAAGGTGAAGGAGGCACGTGATCGCCAGGTTCAACAAGGGCTTGAAGAAGAGCAACTACAACACCAGAGAGCTGAGGCAGCTCGCGTACGTGAAGTGAAGAAGCAGAAGAAGCTTCAGGCAGCTCAACAGAAGCGTGCAGCAAGGGCAGCAGCTCAAATAATAAGGCAGGAGGAGAAGGCTCGTAAGGCTGCTGATCGAGCCTCACGACAGGCAGCTCGTAGGACTCAACAACGACTCCAGCAAGCTCAAAAAACTGCCCAAAGAGGCAAGAGGAGAGACCTCAAGGCAGCTACTAAGGCAGGCTCAAAAAAGAGAGCAGCTGCGCAGCCTCAGAGTGGTGATGATGCCTCAGGTGCTGCAGCAGGCCCACCACCATCTCAATCACGACACGGCCGAGCAATCAAGCTCCCAGCTAAATATAGATAGCTATATATATCAATTAATACCTATAGAACTCAACTCTAGAATATATCGCGATAATAGCTATTGTTCGTGGCTCTACAGCCTCAAGTTAAGCTGCTGTTTTGGTGTTCAGGGTGGCTCGAACGGCCGGGCGGCTCGGACGGCCGGGCAGCAGGGTACCGGTAGCGCCTCCATTCGCGTAACGCCCCACCAAGCAACATCGCGGCCTTTGCAAAGATGAGGCTGTACAGCCACCTACAATAGCTATTATCACGATAGGTTATAGTGGAATAGACTATTAATACATGCAATTAACTTGGGCTACTTGAATTTTAATGGGAGGCAGACGCTGCGGCCGCGCGTGGTCACCTTAGGGGATGGCTCTGGTGCGGCTAATGCGGCCTCTTCACTACTTGCAGCCTCTACAACACGCGCCTTGCTTCGATTTTTTAGGATTTTTTGTTTTAAAGCTAGCCTCTTGCCTTTTTGGACTAATTGTAGAGATTTTATAGCGTTTGCGGCGTCTTTTTTTTGTTGTTTGCTTGCTTAAGACGCTTGAAGTTCCGCAGCCCTCGTAGCCTTCTCTTTCTTTTTTGCCTCTTTAACCCTTTGTCGCTTTGCCTTTGCTTTTTCTTGCTGCTGCTTTTTATACAAGGTTGTAGCCTCTTTTAGCTGTCTTGCCTCTGTTTTCTGTAATTTTTCTAACTCTGCATCTCTCTGTTTCACGACTTCGCGCGCGCGTGCTTCTCTCACTTTCCTAAGACTCCAAAACACTGCACTACTATAATATTCTTGACGCTGCTGCAAGTCTAAGACTTTACTCTTTTTCTTGTGTTTCTTTTTGACTGTAAGAGCGTCGCGTAAGCTCTTATTTTTGTAGTGTAGTAGCTCGTTCTGCACCTGCAGCGATAGAAGTGATGAACTCAACCGCTGCGCTTCCGTTGCGGCTGTATCCTTTACAGCAACATTAAACAATTGACAGAGCTGTCTCCAAATACTTCTATTACTTTCTAGCTCTAAGGTTAAGCTCTTATCTTGCTCCGAAGTTGTGCTTTTAAAGCGTTTTAAGATAGCGTCTGCACTAGCGGGAATAATGCCTGTAGCTTCGAAAAACTTACGCACAGTCTTCTTCTTAAAGGTAGACATCTAGGCAGCCTAGAATATTAGAAAGAAGTTGCCTTTCTTAACTCTAATAAGGCTTTAGGAGCGGTGAAAGTGCAGTGTAAGTTCTTTCAAATAGAAAGTTAAGAACGGCGAGAACAACACTACATCAAGTAGCTAAAAGCTGTGAGTTAAATGTAAGAGAAAGACAGCAAGAAGGATCTTATTAGCGTTGCAATAATTAATAAAATCCATCGTGAGATGAGATGCGTGGCTATCAAGGATAAAGAAGCGCTACTTCTGCTGCGCTTTCTTCTTCGTGCTTTAGTTAAACACCTGCTCAAGCCATGCTAGCCCGAGGTCATTGTTTGACCATCCGGAGGGTGAATTGGCAAAGAAAACCTAGTGTTTTCCTGCTTCCACGTTCTCTAACCATGAGCTTTGAAGCCCTTGTTTTCCTTCGTAGATAACAGCCGAAGGCAGCGCCTCCCTATTAGCACAAACACAAGCTATAACCGTAATCCATTCACGGGAGCCATCCTGGAGTGCAGCCGTACGTTCCTTACGCTCCCACACTGCCTTGGAAAATACTCGTTTTGAGCGCGCTGTAATGCCGATGAGGAAGCCTTTTTCATCTATATTGTACACGTTCTCCGCGTCAACGTCGTACTCTCGCATCTTGCTGTGAAGTAGATCAAAGTACAGGCAGTATTTATCCTTATTGTCAGCTTTGTGACGATTGCGATCTATTCCAGTTGTCTATTTAGATGTAAGATTGGCTTTGTTTCGCGTCAGAAATCGCGAAACCCAGGCCTTCGAGACTGCTGACTCCGCCACAGAGGACGCGAAATTCTGTATCATTTCGCGCGTAGGAGGTAGCCCTTGCTCTGTTAAGCCTTTAATGTATCGTACAAGCTCCTGCTCTTGTCGTGGGTTGAGTTTTCGTTGATTCAGTGCCTTGGTTGCACGCGTAGCCTGCAACCCCTGGTGCCTCCGCCGCAGTGTAGAATGTTCTACGTCGAACTGATTGGCGACTTTTCTATATGAAAAAGATGCGCCTTCTTCGCGCGATTCGATGTTTTCAATCGCAGCTTGAATCGGTTTCATATTGATGGAGTTATCGCGTGTCGAAGTATGGTGAAGGATTGTTGTTTTGATGTTGGTGAGGCGTTACGCGAATGGAGGCGCTACGCGCGCCAACACGGTATATATCCGCTCACGTGGATGTAAAGGTTCCGTTCCAAGGTTCATTGAGGTTCTAAGCTTGCCCCGGTCGTATAGGTTAAACAAGCAGCTGTGAATAGGAGTAATTAATAACTCATAAAGAATAGTTGAAGTCAAGGAGTTATTCTACCTACCTAGGCTCCAACAAAGACCATTATATATGCCGTACCAAGCCGCCCTTGATCCCCACCCACTCAACACATCGCTTATTACACTAACCCGCCCCTCCTGACGCACACCTCACTCTTCCCTTGAGGTGTTTTGCATTAGATTATTCGATTGTAATTTAGTAGAGAATATATATTTTTAAATCCTAGAAAATCTCCATCAATCAACTCAGAACGTCCTTGAAACACATTCAAGATATCCTCGATGGTCTAGTGGTCATGATTTCCGCTTGTCAACCGCAAAGTAAACAAGCGCGGGAGACCTGGGTTCGATTCCCAGTCGGGGAGCGTCGGCATATCTTTTTGAACTTTTTTTTACTAGTACAATTCTATTGTCAGTGTTCACGCCTCTTTCCTATGTTTTTGAGTGTAGTAGATGTAGTAAATAAAGGCTACATAGGTGATGCATTATCTATATATAGTAAGGAATTAGTTTTCAGTCGTCTCTTAGCATTTTACCCGTCGCTAAGTGCATTAGGGGTCTAATTATCGAGTCCGTCATAGTAAACGCTGGAGAATAGTTACGATAAGGGGGAAAAGGTGCGGAAGTTGATGTGATACTCTAAAATTTCTATTGCACACATCAGATACAAATTGGACTATTTTGCGGCATACCCAAGCGTTTGGAAGCAGACTAGCAGATAACAACAATAGACACCTCTGTCGCGATAAACCGCATAAAATAGTGTATATAGTTGCTATGCCAACGCGGTGAAGACACGCCGCACACGGTCTTGTTAGTGAAAGATCCCGATACTGAAGAGAAACCTCAAAGGAATCGCGAAAGTGTCTCGATATTTGAAAGACGTGCCTTGCACAGAACATGCTGTTGACTTGTGACTTCGTTTTCTACCGTCTTTATAGCCACCAGGTCCCCTAGTAGTCACTACTCCACTCAAGCTCTCCTCACCGAACGCTGATCCGCGTCGCGTTTTCCAAGGCGCGTCCAACCCACGTATGTTGAGCCGAGTTTTGTTCCAACCTTTCACCAATCTACCCACCACGCGTGGCGCGCCACGTCCCATCCGCACATAAAAGCCCTCTAACCCCAGCCCCAGATATTCTTTCTCCACCCACGATAAACCCAACCTGTCTAGTTTGTCAGGCTGTCTCGTCTCGTTTTGGTCACCGGCGAAAGATCGAGGCTTTTGCTAACAGATACCTTCAGGATGTCCGCTACTACGCCCACTGATGACTCCTCAACACATGCTCTTGGTTCCAGAACCTCCGCTCCTACTTCCGACTCCTCAGTACCGGCTCCCCCACAGCCTTTAGAAGAATTCTTCGTGTCAGATATTGCACCCACCGCTGACCAGCCTGGCCGCAGCTTTTCTCTCGAGACATTTGCCCAAGACATTGCTAGCAGATCACAAAGCTATGGTGAGACCCTCGAGGCAGCTGAAGCCGTCCCCAACGAAGAACGCTCCGAGCCCGACCGACTGTTCCTACAAAGCCATCAAGACCTCTGCCGGATCTTGGAGGAGAAGTTAATCATAGCAGAGAACGCAACGATTGCTGGTCATATGCCCTGCAAGGCCGACGCGCAGATTGACTATCTCCTATGGATGACCCGAGCTGTGTATCTTTGGTCGTCGCTGAACTTGGAGAAGACTCGAGCGGCACTCCGGACGAATGTGGACCACCGCCAGCGGATCGAGGCGGTCGTGGAGTGGATCGGACATGAGATTTTCTGCACGCTGAGGGAGTTAGAGCAGGAGCTTCCCCGGCCAGATGAAGCGGACGAGTACGAGAATGTGGGACCGGAACACGATACCACAGCTATCGGTGTAATTGTGCCCTGGCCCGAACTTACCGACGAGCAACATGACATGCGCCGGGAAACTGGCCGCGTCGACCTTGCCCTCGACGACCACGATCGTGACCATCGCATGCGATGCACCATCTGCATGGATGAGTACTCGTCTGACGACCTGCCCTTGCGCCTCAATGCCTGCGCCCACATCATTGGCCAGGCTTGCTTGAGTGTCTGGCTGAACGGGACAGAAGTTCAAGCTAACACGTGCCCGTACTGCCGCACTCGGCTCTGTGACCGGCGTGAACGGCGGCCCAAACCGATGGCACCGGAGCGGGAGCAGAAAATCCAGAAGCTGGTGTCTTTCTTGGGGAAATTGGGGAAGACTTTCGGCAAGGTGCAGGGGATAGTGCGCTGGTCGTTTGGGGGGGACGAAGAGGAGGTGCGTAGATACGGAAGAGAGATGCTGGTAAAGGTGAACAGTTCGTGTGAGCAATGGGGAATAGGTTTGAGAGTGGCTACCCAGTATGTAGCTACCTAGCTGGGGTTTGCAGAGTGCAGATTGTACAATACGGCTTTTGTCCGACCTTCAACACCTAATCAATAGAGTAGAGAGCTGCCTAAGCAAGGGAAAGATCGAGGCAGCTTGATCGGATATTCAAGATGATTTCCCCCCCGACGCTTATCGCCCCAGCCTCAGCTAATGTCGAATTGAGTGAAGGCCAATGACGGCCCATTGTGTAGTCTCATCTCTTACGATATCTACCTACTCAAAGGCGACAGCCGTATTAGGCATCGCTTAGCGAGACAAGTGCAATTATTTGCGGACGGCCCAAAAGCGGTTGAAATGAGTCGCTTTTTCTTAGAGGTTTAGTTCTTCCACCTTCGCTCATGTAAGTAATTCAATACGACTCGGCCTACGTGTTCAGCTGGGTGCGAAGCTTCGTTGGGAGGACTGCGCCATTGCCGAAGCCAAGTCAGTAGAGCCATCAGCATCTCAGATCCAACTGCCCGTGACGCGTCCAACGGGTCTTATTCCCCGCATCGGAGCTCCTGGTGGTGGAGCACCTGCTGGGGCCGCGACGCCTACTGGATCTACAGCATTGTTAACTTCCACCGCACAAGGCCCAAGCATGCATACCACGTCGTGTCGTTTCCCAGCTCCATCCACAAGTCCTGCATGCAGTCGGATACATGGCCTAGAAGCGATCAACCAGCGTCTTCGAGGCATCTCACCCCGTCATACTCTGGTCACCATCCTCCGACTCGCCCGGCGGCTGGCCCAGCTCTCGCAGCGAAGCTTTCAGGCGCGCGATCCTCGCCTGCAGGTCCTCGATCTCTTCTTGCTGGTCTTCTAGGGTGCGGCCAATGTCCGGCAGCGCCATGACGGCGCGTCGTGCCTTTTGTATCTTCAGCTTGACGTCGGTGGCTGCGGTGGCTAGGTGCTGCATCTCGAGCGGCCCGTCGCCCACGGGCTGGCCGGGCGTGGGCGCGGGCGTGGGCGCAGGATGCTGTGGCGACGTGCTGATGAGGCGGCTCAGCAGCTTGTGCAGGTCGGGCAGGATGTCGAAGGTCGCGGGGGCAGGTGCGGCCGTGGGCATTCCCGGCGGCGCTGGCGCTGCGTCGCCGGCGGGCAGGATCGAGGTGTGGGGGGTTGCGGCTGCCGACATGACGCTGGCTTGGAGGTGGAGGTGGAGCTGTCGCCGTCGCCGTCGCCGTCGCCGTTGCTGGCTGAGAGCTTGCCGGTGGTGTCTGAAGAACAGTGGTAATATGTTCACTGTGCAGGCGTTTGGCGCAGGAGGGGGAAGATCCCGACGACAAAAGGCTCGTGCGCCGTCGTGTAACGGTCGGGACTCGGTGGGCGGTACTTTCCTTCTGCACCCACAGCCAGTTTTCTTAGATATCGCGAGGCTGGGCTTTCCAACCGCTTTCCGCTCTCCCCGTCCTATCTTCTGGCCGTGCGTCGTTGAGTGGGTGCAGGTGGTCTGAAGCTTTGCTTTTGCAGCGAAAGTGACGTTGGTCGCGGGTCTGCAGAGAGCCAAAACACCCCGCCAGCGGCCAACCTACCCCTCCATTTCACTATCGCCCTCACACGCCGGCTCCAAAGCTCCTTGTTCACCACTCCAGCATTTGGCAGAGCTTCCTTCTTCCTTTAGTGCGCCAACTGCGACTCCAACACGAGCGGCTCGTCGCCATGGTCAAAGTCAACCAGAAAACGGTCCTCATAGTCATCGACGGCTGGGGCGTCGCGTCTGACAAATCCCCCAAGGAGGGAGATGCCATTCTTGCTGCCGACACGCCATGCATGGATGACTTCAAGGCACCCGGCTCAAAAACTGCCCAGGGCTACACCGAACTCGAGGCCTCCTCGCTCGCAGTCGGGCTTCCGGAAGGTCTGATGGGGAACAGCGAAGTTGGCCATTTGAATATTGGCGCAGGCAGAGTGGTCTGGCAAGACGTTGTTCGAATCGACCAGACTATCAAGACCGACAAGCTCAAAGACGTCAAGACCATCCAGGACTCCTTCGGCCGTGCCAAGAACGGGAATGGTAGGCTTCATCTTCTGGGTCTGGTCTCGGACGGCGGTGTCCATTCTCACATCAATCATCTGGTTGCTCTTCTCAAAGTTGCCAAAGGAATGGGCGTTCCACAAGTCTTCATCCACTTCTTTGGAGATGGTCGAGATACGGACCCAAAGTCGGCAGCGAAATACATGGAGGACCTGCTCGAGGCTACCAAGGAAGTCGGCCTTGGGGAGATTGCAACTGTGGTCGGCCGGTACTTTATCATGGATCGCGACAAGAGATGGGACAGAGTCGAGATCGGTATGAAGGGCATAGTAGAAGGGGACGGTGAGGATAGCAGCGACCCAGTTGCGACGATAAAGGAGAGGTATGAGAAAGGGGAGAACGATGAGTTCTTGAAGCCCATTATTGTTGGTGGAAAAGAGCGAAGAATACAGGGTTAGTGTCAAGAATGGGCACCTAGATGTCCACTGGCTAACGAATGATAGATGGCGATACTCTGTTCTTCTTCAACTACCGTTCCGACCGCGTTCGGGAAGTCACTCAGCTTATGGGTGACGTCGATCGCTCACCAAAGCCTGATTTCCCCTACCCCAAGAACATCGACATCACGACCATGACCCAGTATAATGCCAAGTACCCCTTCCCGGTAGCTTTCCCTCCGCAAAAGATGAACGATGTCCTTGCAGAGTGGTTGGCTAAGCAGGGAGTTAAGCAATGTCACGTTGCCGAGACAGAAAAGTACGCACACGTAACCTTCTTCTTCAACGGCGGAGTCGAGAAGCAGTTTGACAACGAAGAGCGCGACATGATCTCTTCACCCCGGGTGGCGACATACGATTTGGAACCGAAGATGAGCGCCATGGCCGTCGCCGACAAGCTGTGTGAGCGCATCAAGGAAGGCAACTTTGAATTCCTGATGAACAACTTCGCCCCACCAGATATGGTGGGCCATACTGGTGTGTACGAAGCTGCGATTGTAGGTGTCACCGAGACAGACAAGGCAATCA